ACGGGGGGGGGGGGGGGTCCTCAAGAATCTTACGTAAGATTTTTTTTTGAATTTTCCTTCAGTTCGCCTTTTTTTCGAAAACGTAATTTTTACTAACCGAAATTCGAAAACTGCACGACAAAAATCATTATTATACTTTCCACAAGATACTTCTCACAATAACTAGTAGTTGATATCTTTTATATTGCTATTTTTATATGTTGTTCAGTTTATATCAATATTATTTTATTGAATATATGCGGTGTTCTCAAGTGTTTTGATTGAAAAAGGAAAAAATGTCAATCATCAAGACTACATCGGTAGTTGACTTTCATGATCATTTGACCCTTGTGACTATCCTGCATGCCTCTTCTGGTCGACCCTTGCGATCGTATGACCTCTGAGCAGGGTTGGGTATCTTGGATTAAACGGAGGTTCTTACGTGATGATGTAAAAAACCGGTAATTTACCTACAGGCCGTAATAAATGTAAAAAACGTAAATAACTTATATAACCTCACGATTAACAAAGAGTTGGCCAAATTTCACGAGAGTCAAACGTGACGAGGGTTACAAGGGCACGATCAAATTTCACGAGAGTCACATGGGTTACAAGGGGATGGTCGAATTTCGCGAGATTCAAATGTCACGAGGGTCACAAGGGGATGCTCAAATTTCACGGCGGTCAAACGTCACGAGAGTCACAAGGGGGCGATTAAACTTCACCGTATTCCTTTCTGACCCTTGTTACCCTCGCAACGTTTGACCCTCGTGCGATTTGCTCATTCTCTTGTGACGTTGGACCCCGTAGAATGGGCCATGGGGACATTTAACTGCCGTGAAATTTGATTATTCCCTTGTGACTCTCGTGACGCTCGTGACGTTTGACCCTCTTGAAAATTTAACGATTCCTGTGTGACTCTCGCGAAAATTTGACCATCACCTTGTGAGCCCCATAACTTTTGACCCTCGTCAAATTTTACTCTTGTAATGTGAGAAAAACGATAAGTTTCCCCGAATCCCGGCAGATGGCGCCATGTGTCGTAAAAAATGTAAATAACTTATCAGGTAATTTACTCAATTTTTTACACGTAAAAAATTCTGTAATTTACTCGAGGTAATTTTCTTCCCATCCCTGCCCCTGAGATTGTCCTTGTTTCATTTGACCCTCGCAAGGCATCACCTCATAGACGAGGTAAGACTCTGGCGTCATTTGACTCTTGCCGGGTATGACTATTGCGATGTTTGACCCTCGACAGACATGACCCTTGTGACCCTTGTCACCATCTACATATGAATCATCAGTATTTTACTATGTACCGTAGGAAACCCTGATTTTCAGTGAACGACTCATCCCTGATCTTACGTAAGATCTTGGGGGGGGGGGGGGGGGGGGATTCACTGAATCTTACGATGTCTTACGTGGGGGGAGGAGGGGGTCAAAAATGGGTAAAAATCGCCTTACCTAATTTATGGACGGCCCCTTAGTCTAGATGTTAAATTATCCGGATGAAATTTTCAAAATTTATTTTATTTTATTTAGTAATGAACAGAAAGAAGGGAATCGGTTGGGAAGTTATTGGTTCGACCTATAATAGTTCACACCCAATTCCACCAACCTAGTGATGCCGCGAGACATTACGAGACGATACTTTGGAGGGATTGTCTAAGCCTTGGTGAACACGGAAATCTTTGGTCTCGTCTCAGTCTTGAAATGCGCAGGATCGACTCCTCTTGTGATGACTCTGAGTCAATTTATCTCATCTCGGTTTCCAGTTTTTCGCGTTTTTTATATGTAGAAAATCGAGACGAGACAAACCGAGACAAAAAGCCAGATTTTAGATTAAAAAATACGAAAAACTAAAGACCGAGATGAGATAAATTGACTCGAAGTCATCATGAGAGGAGTCGATACTGCCTATTTCGACACTGAGATGAGAGCAAAGATTTTCATGTTCATTGAGACCGAGATCATCTCTCTAAAGTTTTGTCTCGTAAAGTGTCTCGCGGCATCACTCCCCTAACCGCTACCTGGGAGCGAGTATCCGGCACCGATTTTTTAATTTTGAAATTGGAGGAAGGGGGGGTGGGACGAGTCCGATTAAAAATACATTTCTATTATAAATGATTTTCTTTTAATAATCCAACACTCCTAATTTGATATCAATTAGGGTTTTCAATTCAAAGAAAAAACTTGTAGCATAAGATTTTGAAAAAATTGTATTTCCTTTCTGAATTATTCATTATCTCGGTAATCAGTGATTTTAGGAAAAAATGTCACGTAATCTTTTGTGCAGAGAAGAAAATTGCCGAAAAAAAAAATTTTTTCTGACATTCTCACCTAAAGTTCAGCATTATAGGAATAATTGGATATTGAGCGCAAAAGAAAAATGCTTTGGCACTCATTGCCTCTAATTGAAACATTGGTACCTGGGAAATTACTTCATTGATAAATACTTGCTCAAACGATTTGAAATGATTCACTCTGACTCTCCAAGATGGCGACACATGTATCACAAAATGCAAAGCTTTGAATTTTGAAATGAAAACAAAAAAAATTTAAACAAACCAAATAATTGTTTTATTTTATTAAAATGTTGAAATTTCAAGGGGCGAGGAGTGGATGGGGGAGAAGGAGCGGGTTAAAAATAAATTTTTGTTATGAATCTACTTTTTTTCAATAATCGAATCCTCTTAATTTTGATAAAGAACGATTTTCAATTAAAAAAAAAATGTTGCAAACTAAAATTCGCAGAATTTTTACATCCTTTCTTCATTTTGCATTATCTCGGTAATGAGTGGTTTTAGGAGAACATGTCATAAAACCTGTTTTGCAAGGAAGAAAATTTCCGACAAACATAATTTTTTGATATTTTGGCTAAAAGTGAAGCATTAAAAACACAATTGGACATTGAGTGCAAAAATGCGTTTGCACTCATTGCCCTAAATTGATGCATTGCTACCTAAGAAAGGAGTAACATTTTCCGATGATTTTTATCAGAGAAGTTAATAATAAGCCCCTAAGTGTTCCCCTATTTACCGAGCAGCCGGATATCAGTTGGCTCGAGCTCGTCAAACGCGCAAAGTGGAATTGTAATTACCACAGTAGTTACGGAAAGACTGGGGTACGACCAGAATTAATGGATTTTCAGTTGACATGGAGTTGTTGATGCTGCGGGATTACAACATGCAGTGGATTAATCTATGATGTTTATATCGATGGGGAAGGATGTAGTGGCTCTGAATGTTGATGATAGTGAGTTGACAATTGTTGCGTTGAAGCAGTGAAGTGGAAAAGCCAAAAATTTAATTCCAATATTTTTCTGTTATGTATTATCTTGATCATGAGTCATTTCAGGGAGAAATCTCCACAAATATTTGTTGTTAAAAATTTTCTCTTTAAAAAAATATCTTTTGACATTTTCTCCAAAAACAAATCGTTTCTGAGATAAGTAGTTAGTTAACAAATTTCAGTAGTTCCAAATGATTTTCCTTCTTCACATTCGTTTAAATTTTTGTAATTGTTTTTTTTTTTTCATTTTTTCCTGGAACAAATGTGCTAGAAATGAATCATTAATTAATCCATCAAACTAATAGTTTTATTAATTTATTATTAATTAATCAAAGGAAAATTTGAAAATATTTTCAAAACTTCAAAAATATGATATTTTTTCTTGAAACTATTCGTTTCTGAAAACAACCTGCTTTTACGAAGAATCGAATCTGTTATTCATGATATGTTTTATGGTGAAGCCAACGACTGATGAGAATTTAATTAAAATTCGAATTGAAGTGAAGACAGTAATTGTGGAAGTGATTCTAACGTTTTGGTAGGTGGAGAGAGTGATCCCTGTGGAGCTCAGGTCTTTCGTGTACTGGGAGAGACCGAAAGCAAATGGATCCTCTGTCTGATCACGTACAACACCGTGATTATCTACTACCTCTGTGGCTGGGTAACTTCGACCAACAGTATAGGTCAGTTTCCATTTCCTTACTGCTGAAACTTTGCTGAGGGTAATCCTTGGGGATCCGACTAATCCCTCTAATCGACTCGTCCCTAATTAACTTTAGCGATGGAGTTCAAGTCAAAGTCGGTTGAAAGAGAATTTCTGTTTTTTTTCTTTTAGTTTTTTGCTGATGAATTCAGGAAAATTCTCCATTCCAAATTTTATTGAGAGAATTTAAAGTATTAGTGAAAAATGAATTAGTAGTTGCAATAAATCATTGAAATTGAATGGGAAATACCACTACCTACTAATTTTATTCTAGGACAATTAAATAGCAAATGTCTATTTAATTTTAATTTTATAAATGCTCATAAATTAATACTACGTTATCAGTTCAAATAATCAATTTGAAATGACCATTTTAAACACTATTTCATTAGGCTTTTTTTTATTGTTATATTTCATTAGGTGTAGCTACTTAAAATCGTATTTTTAAATTTTTATTCAGAGAAAATTATTCGACAGAAAACCTCCATTTTCAATTAATGCAATATTGCAAATGAAATACTCGAATAATTGAATTCAATAAGTGATTTGAAATAGTTCAATCATGAAACTGAATAAAAATTATTTTTTAACATTCTTCAATAAAAAAAGTTATGAATTGTTGAAGTCCCAAGGTTTCTCATAAAAACGTTTGAACTTTATGCACATCCGGGGTTCACGGTAAACTTCTCCCTAAGAATCTGGCAGTGCCAAAAAGTTTGCCAGCCCTCTAACGAGCCCCGCCACTCTACGTCTGCCAGTCGAGCTCCACAAATATTGATAATTTGTCAACTCCAGTGGTCTCTAATTACCCGGCAAATTTCATTTTCATTTTAATCTCGAAGATTTCTCTGTCAACTTTTCAACTCGTCAAATTGCATTTTCACGATTACTCATTCTCCCGGCAGGTATATTTTTTATGTTCAGGGACGTTGGATTATCGGTGCATTCGTGTCGGGGCTTATCACGAATTGAAAACAATGACTTTCTTCAATTGTCCGTTTCCTATACATGTGGGGTAAAAGACAAAAAAAACTTTTTTAAATCGCAAAACAAAATATTTTGCATATTCACTTCATTTTTTTCAATTTACTGATAAAATTTTTTTTTTTCATTATTCCCTACGCCTATAATTGGTTTATCCTAAAACAATTTCATTTCGTTCATTAAAAAAATCATGCAATCTAGGGAAGAGTCGCGCAAAATGGGACGTTTCATGATCTTCTCGAATTTTCAATATCTCCACTTATAAATGAAGATATTGACAATTGAAAAAGATCTCAATACGTGCCATTTTGCCCGACCCTCCCCTATTTTTTTGCTTTTTTCAAGCAAAAAAATTATCATTCTCTCCATTTTAAGAATTTTAAAAGTTTCTTGCTCGATAACCAGGGAAATTTCAGCTGAAAATCAATTTGATTTTTTTATTTAAAAAAACATTAAATACAATTTTTCACGAATTTTTTTTCCGGAATTCTGCAGAAAATATTGAAGATAGAAAGTCGTTGTATTGTGTTTTCCAGCTGAAATATCTCTGGTTACCAACAGGTCATTATCAACCCCAAATAATTACTTTTTATTTCTCCAAAAGCGATAAAAGATGCATTTATGTTTACTCCAGCATTGAATGCCTATGTAAACACAGTATTTTTCAACCTACTCTCCCTATCTGTGTGTCTGGTCTCCATCTGGGTGTCTAGAAAAACCCCAGCCACCGAAAAATTCGCGGAAAGCTGGAATAAGTCATCAGGAACATCTCTAGGACACCCGAATAAATCTAATCACGTAGTTATTGACCAGACAGTCTCTCTGTCGTGTTTGGGACCGGAGAAATACGAGGTTCTAGCTCTCCTCGTGTCGTCGTGCCTAGTTCTCTTCGGTGGCTCCCTCATCTCCATGGAAATCTTCCTAAGAGTGAGTGACCAGCCCAGTGTTCACACGTGAGTCCAATAAGTCTATACAATCCTTCTAAAAGAACAAAAACAATTTTTTTTGTAAAAAAATGTGCCAAAAAAAGTTTTGCTTCGTTCTTTTTTTGAATAGTCGAAATTTTTCAAAAATTCAAATAAATAAAAACGAAAGCTTAGACAGGAATGGTGAATGAATGTGTATAGTGTACATTCAGATTTCTATGAGAAAAATCGTTCTCAATAGAAAAACCATTGAATAAAAACTCTTCGTGAACTAAAAAATCAGTAGAAGCAGGACCAACATCTTGGCGCGGATCACAAGATGGAGGATTAGATTGATATAAATAGTGAATTGAAAAACTCCGTATCAAGAACGTTGGTCCGCTTCTTACTGATTTTTTATTTCATGGAGAATTTTTTTCAATCCTTTTTCTATTGAGAACTATTATTCTCATAGAAATCTGAATGTGTACTATACACATTCATTCGATACTCTTGGCTTGACTTTCTTTTTTAGTTATTTATATTTTTCAAAAATTTCGGCTATTCAATAAGAACCAGACGAAACTTTTCCTTGGCGCAGTTTTGTTTACAAAAACATTGGATTTTGTTTTCTTTACGGAGATTTCGCTATTTTTTCGAAATAAGCAAATAATTGTTTTCACTTATAAGAAATTTATTCTTTTCAATCTCACTCATTCGTTTTTTGACCAGGGGTCCGATTCTACAAAGTTTTCACGACGAGAAGTGAGACAGTTGTTATGTGTTTCCTCTGTTAGAACAATATAAAATAATCGTTCCCATTTCACTTCTCACCGCGAAAACTCTTGTGGAATTGGACCCCAGATAGAATATACTTTCAATTGATAATTGAAGAAAAACAAACAGTTCTACTCCAGATACACTGTTTCTATTGATTTTCATCATTTATTTAAGATTTTCAGGCTTAGTTTGTTTTTCTCATTCAATTTTTTCTTTTATTTTCTACGGGGATTGTATTTTTTGGTGAAATGGATGGATTTCCTTTCAGGAACAGCCGAATAAAATGTTCACTTGATAGATATTTTTATAAAAACATTTGCATTTGTTTCTCTATTTTGAAGATATTACTAATTTTTTAAAAATAATTACAAAAGTGCTTTCGTGTTTCTCGTATCTCACCGTAACCTAATTTGCATTCTTAATTTGCGTTTTCTTACACTACTTACTGAGTCAGTGAGCTCGTCGCGTTTCTCAGCAACCACAAAAAATTTTGGAGTTTTTCTCGATTTTTTGTTCAGTCGGCAAAACAAGTGACATTCAGAAACAAAAAGAATTTTAATTAATTATAAGTAATTGAAATTGAATAATTTTTGTCTTGTATTAATGATAATAAAGAAGAAAAATTGAAGTCTGGAGGAAGTAATGAAGATGAAAAGGTTGCCATGTTGTGTTTTCCAGCTGGAATTTCATGTATTACTTACTGGGGTCACTATCGACCCCAAAAAATCAACCGATCTCAATGTTCAAAAATAACATATCTTTATATTCAATGATTGAAGGATTCTGATAAGAAGTTTATGGCCGGGTCTCCGGGTCACTCATCAAACTTCTTGAGATCTTATCAATCTGAAACAATTGTACTTTAATTTATCTGAGAAGTTGCAAAGGTTTGTGGAGCGGGATGATAAGATATTTCAGTGATTTTCAATAAAAAAAAATTTCATTTTTGTTACACGGGGCTGGTTGCAAAATGAATTTATGTCTGTAGTAAATTTATTCCACAGTTAGACAATTTCATAAATTCGGTGTGAAGTACTTTTACTTGGCCATTCGGACGTAAATATTGACTAAATACTTCATAATTAGTGGTATTACTGGTAAATAGTGATGATACAGTGATATACCACGTTTTTTCGTGAAATACCTTCGATGACCTTTCCCTCAAAATTGATCGGCCGATTATTTTTATTTATTCAGATCCTAAATTGAGGATTTTCTCAACTTTGCTTGGTGCAACCGGACCAGAATATAAAATGTTTGTGAACATTATATGATAAAAAAAATTATTGAATAGAAGTACACAATTCCCTCACTAATTATTGAGTTTATGAGAAAATATTATGAGACCTTTTTTTATAGGGAATTGTAGTAGCTACAAAAAAAACCCTGACATCGCCTCTGGACTCCACTCATCCCCTTGAATTTAATTCTTTCTTTCCGAACAAATATCAAAGAAATAAATTGAATTTAACAAAAGTTGAAATTTGTCAGTGGCAGGTTGGGACTCGGGGCTCTCCTCGGTCTGCTCGCACACTTGGGAACGATTCTCGTTTATCCTGATGCTGGATTGAATCACGTGGTCTGCATGGCACTGCCATGTGCAACCTTCAGGGAATGCAATCCAATTCTAGCTGCCAATATCCTCAGCGCTGTCGTTCTCTGCGTTGCCCACTCTGTCATTCACATTTGGTAATTTATTTATGGTTAATTCAATAGTATATTTACTCAATAATTTCAAAATAAAAAAAACTCCTAGAAAATATATTTATTTAGAAAAGGAATTAGAAGAGATTTCCAACTCATCAATGTTTCCACAAAAAATATAATTGAGTTCAGGAGAAAATATCAGAGAAGGTCCTGTGATATTTTTTTAATGGAGCTAATGGTTTCAAAGACATTTGAGAAAGATGAAATAAGATTGTATTTATTTTTTATGGAGGGAACTTTATGTTGCCGACACGGCAGCTGCTTTCGCGGTGATTGGGCTGACCACAACGGCGATGCTACCACTTGCCTTTTACACGTTGTGTCTAATACTTCAGGTAATTTATCGTTACGTAAGTGTGTGGCGGAGATGCCGTTGAACAACTTCATAGAAATAAAAGTGCACTGCGAAGAGTCTATTCATGTCAAACAAATTCTTTTTAGATTAGAATTTAAACTGAAGTCTTGCATGGAAAGTTCAAGTAAATGTGTTTGGTATCAATAAATTTATTCCTCAGTTGTGTAATTGGCGAGATTCATGGAGTCGATACCGAGAATATATTTTGACTTACGAGGAAGTATGAAATTTACTTTAGAAAATATCTGTAAATGATTTTTTCTGAATTTATTCCTCCGGGAGATATCTGGAATGGTATGGGAGCATTTTTTACATTAAATAGCTCTGGATTTTCACTTGATTAAATGTTTTTTTAGAAAGTACCGCATCATATGATCGAGCAGCTGGATAAGTGCCTTCGTGAGGCACTTGATATCGATGGAGTTCTGGAGTTCAGGAATGAACGGTTTTGGACTAAATCGTTTGGAAAACTCGTTAGTTGTTTCTCTCCTTTTTTTAAATATCATTCTGAGAATTCAAAATACTCATAATTATTGCGAGTGGATGCATTAAATCCTCATCGAATGGATTCCATACTATTTTGTCTAATTCCAAATAAAAAGTGGAAAATTTCACATCTGGACCCAAAAATTAAATTTTTGGACATTGAAGTAACTACTATTCTCTGCAGAATGAAATGTCACATATCCCTTCAAATTTAGCTTCATACATATCAATAAATAACTATTAGTGGTATTTTTAAGAATTTTTTCATCAGGTTCAAGTATTTAAGATAGAGCTGAGCAAATTTAGTCAATCATACTATTGTTAATTTCATAACTTCTCAATAATATCGCATCCAACAATATACTCTAATATTCATAATACTCTTCGGACCTCATTTCACTATATCAATAATTGATAATATTTTCAAAATAATTTCACGATCCCCCTCTAATAATTTCAAATATTATTAGTGAAATAATGTGTCTGCCTCTCCTAAATTAAAAATCACATTTCCACATGATATTTGCGCGATACGGAGCTTGCATGGAGCTCAGTTTTTCCTACGTTCCATATTTACTCATTCTACATAACCCACAAATAGCTACACGAAAGTAATTGTGGAGAAATATTGCCTAGATATCTTGTAATGATTGACTGAAAGTCCGACTTTATTGAAACCTATTATTTCGATCATGCCGTCACAAAGTGGCCCAAGGAATGAAGACAGACCCCTGAGATGAACAAGTCGAGAATAAGCCCCCTGAGGAGAAAATATGCAATAAAATGTCGATGTGTGACTTTTTAGAAAAAAAGATTTTTGAATGAATTGCTCCATACCAGGATGTATTCAATCGATCGACATAAAATTTTCTACACAAGTGTGACTCAATAATACTAACTAGAAACCAGAATCTGTTTATTCCAAATTTTACGCGTATCATGGAACGCCACATTAACTCTCAATTGAAAAAAATCGAAAAACGCAAATGTCTCGAAAACTTTGCATGAATGGGTATTTATATTTTGATTGATCTTGATAGGGGGTGGCAAGGCGAGTATTTTGAAAAAAAATACAATCATCGAACCAGTAGTTTGGGAGATACAAGACCGTTTTTCCACAAAAAGTTGAATATCTTCTAAACCACTTGTCCGATTTCGCCTACTCACAAGCCCATCCTGTAATATCATAAGAGCGACAATCTTATCAAATTTCAACATTCTATCTAAATTTTTTCCGAAGTTATCGTACACAGAACGATTTTCTCATATAAACAAAAAATGCCGATTATTGCCAAACTGTTCCTAGTTACATAGCAATATTGTGATTTGATTTGATGGATATTACCACTATGTTGACGTGAAAAATGCAATTCAGTCACGTAGTTTTCGAGATATTGAGGGAAAAAGATTTTTGAAAAATTGCTGTATCTCGGAAACTACACGGAGAGAAATTTTTTAGAAAAATTCCAGTGCCGGCACTAGAAATGTTATTGGGGAAAATGTGAATTTTTCCCAGTATTTCTGTGAAAATTTCACAGAAGTCCCCAGAAATTTGACCAGAAATACCAAGAAATTTTACTTTAACAGCACTAGAATTTTTCACAGACGGTGGATTGTGATTTTTTCCAGTACTTGTACTAGAATTTTTCTAGAAAATTTCTCTCCGTGTACTTGATCGATTGAGCTGACGTTGCGCCCAGAAATGCTCCAAAATAATACCAATTATGTGACGAAATTGCAAATTTTTAGCTTCAACTTTAGTTTTTTTCCTGTGAAGATTTATCAAAATTTTCCGAAAAATTTGCACACACATCCGGACATATATGCACACATTTTCCAAAAACATGTCTCTTTACGTTGCATAACATTGTACGTAATTCCCAGGCAAAAATTAAAAGATCGTTAAAATCAACGATTACAAAGTCTCCATTCGGAAGCAAAAAATCCATAAAAATCATGCAAGTTCCCTATTGTGCTCGAAAAATCACAATCCTCACATCTGCTATGATGTGTTCCAGGCAGGCACCCTTCAAGTTAGAGTTCGTAGAGACGCAAACGAGGAACATGTCCTCGAAACAGTGATGAAACATCTCTCCCGGATAGTGTCATCCCTCAAGGTGCAGGAATTTCGAGACACCCGTATTGCATCAACTCCATCAGACTATCATCCAACCGAGTATTACATCGAGGAGATTCTCGAGTTGCATGACAGGAATCATGACACGTGTACACGTGAGTGGGATTTGAGGTGGAATGAAACCATCTGTGGTGACGTGAGTGTCATAAAAATCGATGATATACTCGGTTCAACGAGCGACGTCGGGACTTTTGCGAGTGTTCGTGGGGATGATAGAGTCAAGTGTCTGAGGATCGTGAGAAATCCAATTACCTATAAAAATAACGTTACAGTCGTCGATCACTTGGTTAAGAGTGGCTCAGGGAAGGGTAATGCACTCATTCTTGGAGCTAGGGGCCAGGACGATGAGTTTGATGGACTCTGCTGTGTCAAATTGCTTGATCACTAGGTTTAATTGAGATGTCCGTGTTTGAATTGACAATTTGGAGGAATAAAGTTTCACTTCTTAGAAATGTTGTAAATAAAATATTTGTTTATCATTATTGGTGGGTTTGGATTGTCGTGATGATGTGATCGGGTTGAATAACTCATCTTTTTTGGGTCTTTTTTCAAGCCATTATTTACAGCTTAATTCGAGAAATTGAAACGTTCAAATTATCTTTTTTTTTAATGATGAAAAAGGAAGAATTTGCAAAGTTCTACTGCGAATTGGGACATGATCTGCTTTTGTCTTCACATAGCATGGCGATTTTTGCTAATAAATTAACAATATGCTTTCGAACGGCCATTATTTACATGATTTTTTTGTCGCATATCATTTATCGTTTTATATTATTTCGTTCAATTAAATCATATTTTTTCTTTAATGCATGATTTGTCTTACATCTCTTGTGAGATTTCTTGGATAAATCAAATGAAAAAATGGCGCTGGATTATCTCAAAATTTCGATAGAGTGGTATTAGAAAAACTTTTTTCATGCATAATTGAACGAATTTCGTATATCATATTTGAAGAAACCGTTGGAAAATTCACTTCCGGAGAAATGTTGAAAAATTTGAAATTTGCAAAAATTATATTTAAAAAAGTTGATAAATCAACGGATGCAGCTGTAGTAATGATCTTCTAACTCTAACAGGGTAGCGTTGAAAGGAATATTGTAAGCTATGATTGGAATAATTTCAAACATGATATCCAAGGAGATCTCCGGAATTCTCATTTTGAAAAAATACGAAATATTTGAAAATTATTCTATAAATCAAAACAACGATTATTACTGCCGCCTTTATTTTCGAAATCGGTTGGAGGGACATCAAAACAATTTTTTAAACGGTTGTTCAATGAATTCAGAACATTGTTTTTTTAAGTTATCGTTGGACAACCGATTTAAAAAAAAAATTTAAATTCTAAATTCTAATACATGAATTAAATATTAATCCAATGTCGATGGATAGGGCTCAACCATCCCTACATTTGAAAAAGAAAAATCATCAAATTCCATTGATTCATTAGCCAACAATTGAAGACAAACTCCGTTACATATACACATTCGCACGGATACAGTTTAAAAATCACATTTTCAGACTTTTTGCTCATAATGGGATGGTAAAATCCAAAAAGGTAAATTTGAGCGATTATAAACTTTCCCTTCGGAAGCAAAAACTTTCAGGAAATACTCCGATCATGAATAGTTCAAACAGAATTTTCCCCATCTCTTAAATAAATCATAGCTATTTATATTGTGATACAAAAAGGTGTCGACACTTCTTGCAATCCCTAGATCTTGTCGCTTCTTCATGTTTTCCCGGATAAAACATCCTCGTGAAAGTGCATTGGCATCCACAAGTTTGGTATTTCTATGTAAAAAAAATCTTCTCACGTATCCTGACTTGCCTCTCGGTGCATTCGATCCAGCAGAAATAAGGAATCTAGTTGGTACTGTATCGAATCACTGAATTCCCTGGAATAATTAGTCGTCGACTCATCTCGTTTGTGGAAAATTCCACCGCTCCGGTTGGGGGATTCGAAAGTGATGGATGAAATTGATGAAAAATTGTGAAAGAAGGGTGGCAGGAAAAAAATCAACAGTAGGATTAAACTGTGCACCATGGTTTTCGTGCTATCGATTCTGATTTCTCCGGTGATTTATGTGATACTCGATGGCGGTGAATGGCGAGGATAGCTGTTGGAATTCTCAAGTGGAAAAATCAGAGAACTTTCATGAATTTGTTTTACTAAATTGTCAAATTCACATAAAAAACTAGTGTTTTCAAGACGTCTTAATTTAACAGAAATGTGACTTATCGGCTAGTTCGTGACAAGACATTAATCCCATTAAGACGTGGAATCATGGGACTTTTTTAGTGACTTCTCTATTATATTCCAATTTATACCGCAAAATTTACGGGATTAAACTAATTGTTTTGACCGACGTCGGTGGCCGAAGCGGCTAGGTGCGAGCCTAGTGTGCGAAAGGTTGTGAGTTCGATTCCCCGTGGAACCGAGTTTTTCAACCGGAGGCTCCGGCGAACGGGAGGTCGCTAATATAGTGACCGCCTGTACCGGCATGGGTTTTTTGTGGTTTCCCATGCTACTCCTATGTTTCATAGGAGTGCGAATGCGGTGCAGTGTAGAATCCACAGCCGCATGGATAGGGTTGGATAGGGCCGATTAGCCAATCAGAGGGCAGAAAGGACCGGAATATAAAAAAAAAAAACTAATTGTTTATTGCATATTATAAGATCATATTCAAAAAATAAAATCATGAATTCATAATTTCCATTAAAAAATATATTAAAACGAATAAAAAATGTCAAATTAAGGATTTTATTAAATTCAAATTGACTACTTTCATAGGTGCATCCTCTCCCCTTAAAAAAATAAATAACTATCCCCCCAATTAACCCAAAATTTCGCAATTCCATAAATTCCAAATGTTCTTCTTCCATCCACCTCGCAAAAACCTCAAAACAAAAAGTAAAAACCAGAAATAATTCAACAACGTTTTAACAGACTCCAACCGCACAGTATTATAAAGCAATTGCCGTTGGAATATTGCTCTGGGGTGTTAATAAAGCTCGGGAAAAAGAAACGAGTGAATGAATAAAAAGGGCATTGCAAGCGATGTCGAGAATTAAGGCAAAACGGCGGGAGCGGCAATGGGACGGGGAGGGGTGATAGGGGAGAGAGAATGCTGGCAATATCATGGTGCATCCCGCGCGGCCTATGCATATATTAAATCTCATCTGCAGAATCGACGAGCCGCAGAAACTGTGAGAAAGGTTTGTCGGGTGGGGGAAGTGTAGCTGCGATGAGAGTCTCCAATATTTACGGGTGCACAGCATGCTCAGAGCCCAAACCATTCGTTCGCCTCCAGCATTCGCTGTACGATATTTACCTTCAACTCGTCGTATGTGTAGTGGACGAATATGGCAGAGATGGTACGTGGACTCTCGTTTGGGCAATATGTATTGAAATTTCTTGTGGAAGAAAACAATATAAAGAAATTTTTTGATTTTTTTTCTTCTTTTATTCAATTATTAATTTCTAAATTGATTTACTTATTGATTCATTTCTTTTATTTATTGATTTATTTATCTCATTTACTTGTGAGAAGCTTCTTTTTCTTCATTCAAATTTCAAATGTATTGAGTTTCATACGGTCACGAATGCATTAAAAAAATGGATGGAACATAGAAAAAAACTAAATCAATGATAAAGATGAATGATAAGTGAAAAATTGATGAATAATTTTGAATCTTTGAGCAATTTCCTTGCACTCCTCAAAGTGACCTGAACAATACCCGTAGTTGCTGAAAAATAAGGGCAGTGTAATGAATCAATTTTCTAGAAAAGTGAACAAAGTTATTGAGTTATACACAGCAAAAACGAATGTCTGAATTTCACACACCTTTTGTAGACATTTTTCAGGCACTAAAAAACGTCGGAATAAAATGAAAACGTATCTGAATTTTAGACGAACCGGTGCCCGAACATCTTAATTCATGTTTAAAATGCAAACAAATTTTCATTTTATTCAGACGTTTTTTAGTGTCTAAAAATGTCTACAAAAGGTGTGTGAATTTCAGACATTGGTTTTTGCTGTCGGTATTATAAAAGGGAAATGACCAAAATGTGTCACGCGTTTATTTTTTTCTCTCTTCTTTATAATAAAAAGGAGACCAATAAGAATATTTCTTATTTTTCACTGAAATTGTTCGATATCCAGCTCGAAAAGTTGCACAAAAATTTGTATAAATTATTCAATGTCCAGCCTCCTGATTAACCCTCCTGAACTGGCTAGATCTCTTACGTGTCACTTGCACTGCAGTGGCGCCCTATAGGTTGAGTAGTTGGTGACGGCGCGCCGCTCTACACGCCAGTTCAGGAGGGTTAATGTGAATTGTATATTAGAATGCAGAATTGTATTAGATTGGCAATGAGAAAGATGAATCGTTTGATCGATCTATCATTTTGATATGGGCGCGAAGTGCGTATTCGATTTCGTTCAGAAAATCCGAGAATTTTCAGCTGCAATACTTTGCGACCTTCAAAATTATTGGACATTTCTCGAAATCTTCATTGTAAACAAATGAAGATATCAAGTTTTGTAGGCTGAAAATACCAAGTGCGCAGCATGAGGGGTTTGTCAGCAAAACTTAACATTCTTACTTCTTTGCAAGGAAGCTTGAGGGAAATATCCGATGAATTTTGAAGGTCAAGGGGTATTCGGAGGAGAATTTTCCGGGACTGGATTTTAGCCAATCACAGCGCAGTATTCGAGGTCACGATACTCTTTTGTTATCAATTTTGTTCGGAAATTGCATCTGATAATTGCATAGTAGCTATTCATTTATTTCTAACCAATTGGATGTTTTGCTGGAAGAAGCCCTCAAATACTGCATTCCGCTTGGCTAAAATCCAGTCCCGAAAAATTGTCCGCCGAATACCCCTCGACCTTCAAAATTGATCGCAATATTTCCCTCACGCTTCCCTGCAAACAAACAAAAGTGTCAAGTTTTGCAGAAAAATACCTCGTGTTACGCACTCGGGATTTTTAGCCTGCAAAACTTGAAACTTTTATTTGTTTGCAACGAACCTATCGGGAAATATTCCAATAATTTTGAAGGTCTCGGGGTATTATAACTGATTATTTTTCCAACCCAAATATCGGGCAATATAATTGGCCCATTCGACATCACGTGGTACAAGCTACAGGGTTTTCAACTGATAATTTTTTGATAATTTTCTCTGGTAGTTGCTATATAAAAAATAAAACATCATGCAGTCGAATTCACCCCTCGTCAAACTGACAGATTGAATTCAATTGTGTCGTTGTGTTAATTATACAATTTTCGTTTCTCAATTGTGAGTTTCGTCTCATGGTCCAATTATATTGCCCGACATTTGGATTGGAAAAATAATCCCCCGAATACCACACGAGCTTCAAAATTAATCGGGCATTTTCCTCAAGGTTCCCTGCATACAAACGAAGGAGTCCTGTTTTTCAGGTTAAAAAATCACGAGTG